GAATTTAGAATGAGATTGCATTCTTTTTCTCTTCCACTCAATTTTTCACATCATTTTATGATTTTTGCAACATTTCAAGTGCTTTTCATGTATCAATTTATGCACGAAATTCTTTTCTGTTTTTCACACCTTTTTATTTCTTCTTTTCAATACTTTGCTTTTCATTTTTCTTTTGAAATAACTCAGAGCTTTGCTGTTACCCACCCCAAACTTAAAACTTTGCTTGTCCTCAAGCAATGTCATACAACGTTACAACATGCCACCCCAAACTTAATTCTAAAAATCATCTTTGGTTAAACTCAAATTGCCTCTTTCGTATTTGGATAGGTCGCATGGTTTTTCAGTAAGGCTTATATTGAAGTTTTACCAAATGAAAGGTTAAAGGCTCAAAAGGGTGAACTAAGATTTTCAGCATAGGGGAGGTTATTTAGTCTCTAAGCATGAGCAAAGAAGGCCTTCACTATATATATGAGATCTACATTTTACAATTTTAATCAAGAAACAATGCAAGTTCTGGAGGTGCAGCAAAATATGAGAACAATTAGCACACAACAAGAAATGCATGAGGTACAAGTCTCACCAAGGATTTTTAAGTGAACATGTTAATCAATGAAGCTCACAATTCACTTTTTCAGAATTATATGTACAGAGTGGCAAGACTACCTCATTTTGAAAATTACAAGTGTGATCTCATGTGAGATTGGGAAAAACAACTTAAAAAGAAAAAAATTATTCAGAATTTTCAATTAGATTGCAATTAATTTCAAAATGCAGCTCAATATCAATACTAATATTTTTGTGATTTTTTTTTTTTAGATTTTGCAATGTATTGTGATGCTAAACTAATGAACAAGAGGTAAAGAATTAACCTCCCTTTCATGGAAGTTTGTGCAAGTGTCAAAATCCATGTGCTTGAGTGATGTGTGATAGTGATAGATTCTGCACAAAATACCAAAAATTTATCAATTATCAAGTAAAAAGTCAATTAACTTCAAAATTAGTAGATATTTAAAACAGAAATGTTTATAACTAAAATTAAACCAAAATGTAATTACAAATCCAAAAGTCTGAAACTTAATTACAACTGTCTACACAAATTCTAAATGACAGAAATTTAAAGTCCTAAACTATTCTTCTGCCTCCTTCTCATCTGAGGTGTCTTCTTCTGAGTCTTCATCTTTTTCTTCTTCTTCTTCTGCCTCTTCCTCCACTTCAGTTGGTTGTAGGAAATGAGTCTTATAAATTGACAGATCTTTGAAAACTGAGGAGCGAAGGCACTAAGCATTTTCTGCCAAGTCTGGTGTGTGGTACGTCTCATCCTTGGTCATTTTCCCATCTTTTGACCAATATTCAGCAAGACACACTCCAATAACATGATTCCAGATTTGACACTGATGAATCCACATTTTATTGGATTTTTACTTGTCATTTTGATATTTCTTAATAGAAAAAGTAAACTTAGGAACTGTAAATAACATAAAAACATCATTTTGGTTAAATATCATAGGTTTCTTAATTTTTGGTTAATTTACATTGATTTACATAGATATAGTTTGCAATTTTGATCATTTGAATAATTGTGCAGGAATTTCTAGACTTTTTCTATAGATTTTTAGCATTTGAGAAAGTTTGAGATGAAAGTGATCACTTTGGATCCCATAGTGAACACTACGGCAAGCTAGATCCAGAAGGGTAGATCAAAGTGATCACTATAAAACCATAGTAGACATTACAGAGACCCAGTTTGAAGAAGTGTTGCGCGTGTTTACTATGGAATCATAGTAAACACTCTAGGCTGACCAAAGTAATCACTCAGATACCAAAGTGAACACTCCAGAAAAGGCCAAAATCATAAGACTTATGCGTGGCTACTATAGAGCGATAGTAACTACTATGGATTTGATTATTAATATAGATTTCCTCTTGCACATACTTTATTTTCCCTAATTTCTTGAAAGCTGAGTTTGGATTTGAATATAAATTGTTTGCTTAATTCAATCCATGTTCTTTTCTTGACAAAGAATTCATGATTCATTTTGCTTAGTTCTGAATTAGGTTCTAGGTGTGCTTAATTCCAAGAACCATATATTAGAGTTCATGTAATTTGCTTAATCTTGCATGAGAAACCAAGAATTAATTGACACTTATTCTAATTAATTCAAGTCTGTGAGAGAATTAGTATTTAATTCTTGATTAATTGATGGTTGAACCAATTGTGGATAAACTAGGGATTAATCTACTTTGTTGATTGGTTTTCTTAAATTCAAATTTTTGCTTGAAAGATTAAGGACTTTAAAACCACAACCAAACCCCCTGTTTTCTGAATATAATGCATATTATATGTTTGATATTTAATCACTCACCTAATGATTTCTTGAAGGACGACCTAGGTTAACTCAACCTAGTACTACATTTTAATTTTTCAAAAATAGATAGTGACAGTCTCATTAACGGTGAGTGAAAATCTTGATTCTATTGAGCCTAGATCTTATAAAGAGGCAATTTAGAGTAAAGAAGCATTATATTGGTTAGTTGCCATGAATGAGAGATGTAGTCACTTTAGAAAAATAATACATTAGATTTAGTACCATTACCAAAGGGTGTAAAGCCAATATGTTACAAATGGGTGTTCAAGAAAAAAGAAAAGATTCCTGAAGTTGAACCATTAAGGTTCAAGACAAGGCTTGTGGCAAAGAATTTTTTTATAGAAAAAAGGGAATGACTACAATGAAGTGTTCTTACTAGTGATAAAGCATAAGACTATCTATTTTCTTAGCTTTGATGAATACTTTAACTTTGGAGTTGGAGAAGCTTGATGTAAAAGCTGCTTGCATAGAAATCTAAATGAGTAGATATATATGTCACAATTTGATGGTTTTTTAAGGTTGGAAAAGAAAACTATATACATTTGCTAAAAAAGTCCAGTGTGACTTAAAAGATAGCCTGAGGCAGTGGTGGAAGAGGTTTTATACTTTTCTTATTTATAATTTTGTTCGCAATCAACTTGTTATTGTGTCTACAGTAATAAGTTGTCAAATGATTCATATCTTTATTTGTTGCTATACGGAGATGACATGTTAATTGCAACTAATATGGTTAAAATTAATAATCTCAAAATAGTATTGAGCTGCGAATTTAAGATGAAAGACTAAGGTGTATCCAAAATTTTGAGTATAAAAATTTAAAGAGATAGGAGTGCGGGTTTACTTTATGTATCTTTAAAGAAATACATTGAAAAGTTGTTGCATTCTTTTTAAATGGAAAATTTTACACTAGTGAATACTCCCTTAACATCATATTTTAAACTTGATAGTAACACAATTCCTAATACTGATGAAGATAAGTATATAAGTGACATTTCTTATTCTAGTGTTGTTGGAAGCTTAATGTAAGTTACGGTTTGCACTAGACTAGATTATTAGTATGGTAAGAAAATTTATCTGTGATTCGAGAAAAGTTCGTTGGGAAGTGTAAAGTGAATTATGCGATATTTGAAAGGTACTAGTGATATTTGTTTGGTTTATGGTTCTAATGGAATTGATAGTGGTCTTGTTGGCTAGACATATTTTGACTATGGAGGAGGTCTTATAAAGAGGAGATCATTGACATGTTATATCTTTACTTTTTATGAATATTTTATTAGTTAAAAAGCAACACTTTAACCTACTATTGCCTTATCTACTATAGAATCAAAGTATGTGTCATTGATAGAAGGAGTTATAGAAGGTATATGATCACAAAGTTTTATTGATAATCTGTGTTTAGATGTGCAAAGGTGTGTTATATGTGATAGTCAAAGTGCATTGAACTTGGTTAAAAATTTAGTTTATCTAAAAGATCAAAGCATATTTACGTTAAATTGAATTTTATTCGAGATGTAATTGAATATAAATTCTTCTCCATAGATAATCTAATAGATATATTGATTAAGTCTTTGCATACAAAGAAGTTTAAAGATCTTAGACTTGGTGAATGTTCGCATACCTTGAGACTTTTAGGGTGTATTGATAGGAGAGCTATTCTTGGTTATTGATGTTTTGGGAGAATTTAAGTCAAGATGAAGAATTGTTGAGATATCTTGAATCTATATAACTCTTATATGTCTCTTAAGTTTCTGTTGTTATTCTCTTTAATTGGTTAATTAAGAGTTATGGGTTGTTAGAGTGAGTTATGCTCATTATTTAATCAAGCTTAAAAAAAGCTGATATAATACATTTCCCTAATGAATCTTGTAATTTATATTCACAAATTACAGTAATAAAAATATTTCAATTTACCTGTGTACATAAGTCAAACTGACAAAATCATGTTGATTCTACATGTTCTTATTCTTTCTGTCACTATTTTCATTTTTGTTGTAAAATTAAAAAAATCAAGAAGAAAGTTATGACATTCAAGTCATTAGATTAAACTGAAATTGCTACATTTTAATTTAAATTATAGTAAAAATGGATTTAATAGTACAAAAAATATTTTGAGTTAAATTAAGAAACTTTTATACATTATACTAAAAGAAGTAATTTGTATTAAAAAAAAACAGAAGTTATCAAACAATCCAATATCATGTTTGCATTTTATTGTGTTAATTTAGTCATCTTAATTAATTATTTATGAAGTTATTTAGGTATTATTTAAAGAAAGTAAATTTTAAAAGAGAGGAGAGAAAAACAAAATATTTATTTTAAATAAATATTTAAAATTAATATTTTTATTGTAAAATATATAAATTAATAAATTAAAAAATTAATATATTAATTATGTATTTATAATCATAAATAAATAATTTTCTTAATTTAATATTAGAAAATATCTTTCTCTCACTTCTCTTCCAAAAATATCCTTAGTTTTATATGTTTGGACACGAATAATTGACACCATTCATAAAAATCATTAAAAAAAATTTATCTCGTTTGATAAATCTTTTCATACGTGATGCGGACAAACATTGAATGTATCCTCATGGTTTGCCTTTGTTGGCGCTAAACACACATGTTGTTAGTCTTGAATGAAATGTTTAAATAATAATATGCTTAAAATACATCCTACCCTTGTATTATTTATACAGTGACCCGGTATTCAAAGTAACATATCCTTGGTTTAAGAGTGCATTTGGAGCATGAGAATTTACTCTTACTTTTTATATACACAACACGGAGGATCACTTTGTTAATGGATGGAAGCATGGGCATGCATGATGCAGAAAATCACTTGACAAGTTCCTCCTTCTTTCCTGCTTCTTCAAGTTCTCTCAACCCTTCAGCCTTTTGTTCTATCTCCTCAATCAGTTCCTCACGCCACAGAGCTTCTCTGGCTTCTGCTTCCATAATCTCTTGCTGCATAGCCATAATAATACTCACAATTCATAATGTTTTTCTTTAGACTCTACTCACGGGGAAAAGAGTGCTATTTTTCTATTGTAGAAGGCTTTACATCAGCATATCCTATTTTGTTTCCACGTTGATTATTATTGCGATTTCAAATAAAACCATTTATGTTGTAAAATAGTTAAGTACCCATGGCTAATAGTTTGGCATCTTCTGGTCTTAACACATAATGTGGATGTGGACACCAGTGTTTTATTCCCAACTAATCGAAACTGAATGGTTTGCAACAATAAGCCTTTTAGCTTGTATGGAGTTTTATGCTAATTGCTTTGAGTATGGGCTTTCAGTGCAAGAAGGATAATTCATAAATATTTACCTTCTCATAGATCCAATTGCCAGTGCCATCTCCTCCATCTCCCCTGTATGTTTCTGAGTCGTAATATGGGTCCTAAATCATATCAAGCCAAAAAGTTAAAATATCCATACACAATTGCTAAACATGAATAGAAGAAGTGCTTTACCTTCATGGAACCAAAGAACAAGCATCCCCAAACAGTGAACATAATGTACCAAGCATCTGCAGTAGAATGGGTACCAATAAGAAATAAAATTAAAAATCCCAGAAGAAAAATAAAAATTGAAGAAAAGTGTTTGAAGGTTGAGACTTACAAACATTTTTTATTTCCTGATCACTTAGATGAATTATTGATTTGTGAGTTATAAGATCTCTCTGCCCTTCCATTTGCTCTACTATAATTGCCATCAGTGGCCAATCTGGGAAGCCATTCACTTTACACAAAGATGCTCTTTTGTTCTTGCCCTCTAAGACCTTGTTTCAAAATACATAAGTTGCAGTATGTTATCAAGGCTTAAAATTTATATGAAGCTGTTTTCCACATTCAAAATATTTACTACTTACGTGCAACTGTTTGTTGAAAAGGGTAGAGTTTGAATGCTGCTTGGGCTGCAAAAGAAAGACTTTATTGTTCAGCTTTTAAGTACTAGCATGTGATGAAATGGACAGGGAAGGAACAATTTACCAATCTTGAAGACGGGTTCACTTGAAACCTCCTTGTTTGTTGACATGAGTTAAGAATGTGTGATTTGAAAACGGTGAAACCCGAGATAGCTTCAGCCATGGCTTTGAATAAAAAGTGCAATAGTGCTGGAAAGTGGTTGCTATGCTGGTCCTCACATATATGGGATAGAGTGGATAAGAGTACAACGAAGAACCACCCTTCAAGTTCATACTTCCAACAAATTGGAAAACAATTCAACTAAATGACCGCAGTATCCTCGTTTATACAACACCCTTTCAATTTTTATCATCTTTACAAGCCACAAACCTTGGACCTATATTGTTCAACATTAAAGCATCTAACCTCCCAAATTCATTCACCTAAATATCCCATTTACTTTTACTTGCTAAATTAAAAAGAAAAGAAATATCACCACTGTTTTGAATAAAACAATAATTTGGTAAATAAAAGTTTTTGTGTGCCCGATTCATAATATTATCGATGAATTTGACTTTTGAGATTGCAATAAAAAACATAGTCCTTGAATTGAAGAATTATCTATCAATTTAGTTTGTCATAAGAACGAGTCATTTTCGTCTTGAAGTGACTTGCATGGTAAATTAAGTATCAGCATTTGGTGTCAAAGTTAAAGACATATAACGTGATAAAAAAAAAATTATAGATATCAAGCAAAATAGAGTTCTCATTCAACACAATAATTAAAATATGAAAAACTCTAGCACCGGTATAATTCCTTAGCTTGTACAACAGGGCAAACAAAATGCTAGTAGTGTTAAAAATCAAATTTTTTATCAGTTGTCATGGTAAAATTCATCAATAATGTTAACGCCTTATTGGTGGGGAGAAAAATAGTGTAATTCGAATATGTTTGTTTACATTTTTAAAAAAAATTAAAATTAAATGTATTTTTAATTTTTTTTAAAAATGCAAACAAACATACCGTAAAATTTTCTTTATTTAAATGCTCCATAGAAAGAGGAAGGGGATTTTCTTTTCGTGGCAATCCCACGAAAATTGAAGGAAATGAATAGTAAGAAGGAGGAGGGGACGGGGAGAAGTATGGGCTGAATTTTTTTTTAATCTTCGTTTTTTATTTTTCAAAATATTAAACAAATATAAAAAATAATTAAATAAAATAATTAACTCAATTTTAAGTTTTAATAAATATTTTTAATGCAACTCAATAATTTCTTTTTAAATTTTTTTACTCATTCAAACAAGTAAAAAAATTGTATAATTATTTTATTTTTTCTTAATTTAACTCATCCAAATATTTAATATTTTATATTCTATTTTTTATTCTCACCTATTTCTTTCTTCTTTATTTTAACCTGCATCCAAATAAATCATTAGAGTCGAATTGATAAATAACATAATTTAGTGTGAGATAAAAGTAGGTCACGCGTATTATTGTAAACATCAAAATCTTTATCTTTATCTTTATATATATAAAAGTAGATGAGTTTTGGAGGAAAATTTGTAATAAGTTTTGAAGAAAAATTTGCTTTCACTCTTTAACATAATAATCTTTATATAATAATTAATAATTACTATTTAAGGTCATCTTGAATGCTTTAATTCAAATCAATTAAATCTATTCATTTTTAATTAACAGTTTTGATATATCTTTACCTTTAAGGCAGTCTTGAATGATTTAATTCAAATTAGGTAAATGAATTTATTTCTAATTAGTAGTTTTTATATATTCAAAAGGTGCATCCTTTGCAGCAAATTTGAACCTTAATATTAATATTTATTTTAAATTTTATTATTAGAAATTAATAACTAATAAAATTACATAAAACTCTTGAAATTTAAATTAAGTTTATTATAAAAATAAAAACAAAAAATCAGAAAAAAAATTCTTCAAGTGAGAAAGAAATTATATTTTATTAGGTATATATATAAGGAAAAATACATATTGTTTGTTTGAAATAAAATTTCAAACTAAAATTCTTACAAAATGACGCCTACTATTTCAGTGCTTTTTGAAATACGACTTCGGAAGGTGGATTGGAAGATAATGGTTTGGATAATTAATTTGTGGTTCCCTCATGAGTTTCGAAATAAAACTCAAGTCAATAGCATGAACATGATTTTAGTCGATGAAAATGTGAAGCTTTTATATTTCTTGCATAAATTTTCTTTCTTATTGAATTTATTTAATTCCTTCATGTTCTTTCATTATTTCAGAGTTCAAGAATTCATTGTACTGTTAGGAAAGATATTATATCACGTTACGAAAAATTACTCCATGAAAGTAATGTGTATATCATGAAAAATTTTATGGTAATTACTCCTGAAAAGAATATGCGAACCACTAAACACAAATGGAAACTAAATTTGATAGCAACCACTAGAGTTTCAGAAGTAAAATGTGACAACATCTCTTTTAACTGTTTCGATTTTGTTCTATTCTCAAAAATTTTAAGTGGGATAGATGAACTATATCTAATTGGTGAGTTTTATTTTTTCTAATTTTAATCGCTTTCATATTTATCCATGTATGCTACTTTGTTATTTTAAAATAATGTTTGACACATGTTCAATTAGATGTCATTGGTCATGTGGTTGAGAAAGATAATCTCAAAGATGTAGAAAAAAATGGAAAGAAAAGTTAACATATTGACTTGATTCTCGAATACTTGGAGTGAGTATTATTTTATAACATATTTTAATGGCTAAAATATTTGTTTAATATTTTTTCTCTTTCATTACTTTATACTAAGTAAGGTTATATTATATTGAATTTGTTTATAGGAATCAGAGAATTATTTGAACTTTATAGGAGGAGTTTGCTGATCAAATGGTTAATTTTTTAAAGAATGAGACAAAGTTATATATCAATCCTAACATAAAAGAGGCTATTGATTACAAGAATAAGTAAGTATTTTAATTATTTTTTATTTATAGAGACATCATTATGTTTTGCATGATGTTTCCTATTTTTGTTAACTTATAAGCTATCATCCAATTTGTGGTATAGGATGAATATGAATGATGCAGGTATAAGTCAAGTATTAAGTCTGTCTGGGTACTCTTCTATTTTGAATGGAAGATTATTTACTCCAAGCTCAAAGCATGACCATACATGAAATAATTGAGATAAATAATGAAGTGAAATGCATATAATTATTTTTAAAATATATAAAAGTCATGAATAAATATAATTAATTAATTTATATATTTGAAAGGTCATACAACAATGGAATAATAAGAATTAATATTAATTCTTTAATATTAACATATTAATGCATTTATTCATGCAAAGTTTACGACAGTTTTGAATTTTTTAAAATATATAAAAGTCATGAATAAATTATAATTAATTAATTTATATATTTGAAAGGTCATACAACAATGAAATAATAAGAATTAATATTAATTTAGTATTTGTAACTTTAACATTAACATATTAATGCAAAGTCTCAAAATTTAAGGGGAGCCATAAATATTGATAAGTGATTTAACTAAAATTTATATTTCTCAAGCAAAGTTTCAAAATAATATTTTAAAACAAAGTAGTAATAAATATACGAAAGATTATTGCTAACTAAACAAGTTTCCAAATAAAAGTTGAAGACAATGAGATACAACAATCAATGTTTTCTTTGCAGCCAAAATTCCATAAGTTATCTGCCAATTAACAACCTCCCAGCTAAAGAAAAAAATTTCAAGCCATTTTTTAATGACAAGTGAATGATTTTTTTTTTTTTGGAAGTTCATGAAAAGAAATTCCAGACATTGAAACTAGGATCTCTAACTTTCCTTTTCTGGCAATTTTACCCCCCCTCCATCTCTTGAATATTATAGGGATTTATTGGGAAAAAAAGAAGAAGAAGTCCATAGTACTTATTGTATCAAAAAATAGAAAAAAAACATTTAACACCATTTTTAAAAGCAATTGAAAGCATTTTATAGAGTGTAGGACCCAAAACTATATCCAGAAATTAGGAGCATGAAAATCACGTATTCACTAAAAGTATCGGATGAAATCACAATAGAGGAAAAAAGAGGTTTATCATATTGCAAGAAAAATGAAACGACAATTTGCGTTACTAGAAAATCAAATTCAATATTGACATATGATAGAGTGAGACATCATATTCACTTCCCCACAATCTCAAATAGAAATCCCAATTCACTATCACGCACATTCTAATATGATTTTTATTCCAAATTAAGCAATCAATGCTCTCTCACACACATTCTAATATGATTTTCGTTACAAGCTTTGGGGGAGTCGTGGTCCCCTCCCGCTCCAAGAAGGTCTGCCCCTACCCATCATCCTAAGCAAACCCTTCTTCGTCATTGCAAGAGTCCTTAAAGATGTCCAAGAAGGAAAGTTCACTTTGAGGCTAAAAGATGAAGAAGTCGTCTTTTAAGTTTTTAGTTCATTAAAGTACCCTTCTAGTCAAAAGTCTTGTAATTTTGTAAGCATCTCCCTCCCTTAAATTCTGAGAAGCATGAAACTCTAAGAAGAAGACCAAGGAAGATCCTAGGTTTGAAAATGGTGGGAAATAATTTTTCTTTGTTTATCCTCTTCAATGATTAATGGAAAACTATGACTAATCATAAGAAAAAAAGATGCAGTAATAGTATTTGACAACGACTCGTGCAAATTATTCATTAAGTCTCATGAATAAAAGCCCAATCTATTCATTCAGATAAAAAATAACGAAAAGTTTCCAGTGCATGTACAAATATTCAGAGCTTCGTATCATACTCCTCAAAAAATTGACCTCATCACAGCGGAAATATTAGTTGAATGAAAATAAGATTTAATTTAGACTTCGTTATTTTCTTTAGTTAAAAACTCTTGGACCATTTTGTTGGTGATATTGATATTGGAGATTGTATCATATTTTCTTAGAAATGATGTATTTTGAGGTTGAATTCAATAATAAGGATATCACCATATATTATTGTTACAAATTTAAGCTTGGAGACGAGGATGGTCACTAGTAGATCGAAATTTATCTATGAACAAAGTTAACTTGTTTCTTCAAAGTGAGTACCAGCTTTGTTGCTCGACTTCTTAACTTGTAATTCTCTGCTACAAAAGCATGCGAGAGAACCAAGCTAAGACTATTATTGCGGTGCAGAAAGAATAGAGTTAGACCATTCAAACATGTTGATAAAGGTTTAATTCCTCGGCGTGTGTGCATGAAAAATGAAGACCCAAAAAAAGGAATAGAGTTGGAAATATCATCCATTGTTGCCAAGACAAACAATAGACAGGAATCTCGGAGTAGGGGAGGTAGAAGGCAGTTATAAGGTTTTAGAGTGAAAAAAAATTGAAGTGTCACTCATCGTGCTGTAAACATTTATAAAATATATATTGTAGGCTATATAAAACTAGTTTATTAAGCGCATTAACCTACTTAACTAAGTCCTGTGCTATTATAATTAATAGTTTTAACCGTATTAAGTAACAATTGAATTAACACAATTATTAGGCTTAAACCACAAGGACTCTAAGACAATGATTTTATTGGTAGTAATATTAATATATACTAATTAATTTTAAATTTTAAAGTAATTTAAATATTATCATAAATATTTTATAGAATTATTTTTTATTTTATAAATATTAATTATAATATTATATTATAACATAATAATTTATCCATACATCGCACGGGTCACTTTCCTAGTAATTATAATTATAAAAGTACAAAACTTAAATTTACTTTTTATAATATTATAAATCAAATTAATTATTAATATCAATTTTTTATATTCAAATTATTATTATTATTATTATTATTAATTGTTCTAACTATATTGTGTAAATTTAGATTCTGCTTTTATAAAATATGTAATATTTATTTTTTATATAATTAAACATTTATAATATTATTATTATTAAATGAAATTTTTTATCCATGTTAACTATTTATTTAATAAAAAATTCACTATTACTTATTTAACAAGAAAAAAATTTATTTTTTTGGTACTTACAAAAGACTATATTTATTATTCTATTTAATAGAAAAATTCATTCTTTATTGATACATTTTAAAAAATTCATCTGAGAATACATTACACGAGATATTAATATAAAAAATTATATATACATAGTAAATGTATTATTAATGATATATATATATATATATATATATATATATAATATTAAATGTTTTAAGAGCTTGGACTTATTATTGCTAATATCATTCATAAAAACAAAGTTTAAGCATTATTAATGAATGTAAAAATGAATTCATTATATTATTGTTAGTTTTATCAGGACTTGTAACAATAATTTTATATTAAAAAGATTACTAAAATGGATATATTAATTTTTATTTTTATTTTCTCTATCCAAGATATATACAAAAGTAAAATAATACATTTTAATTTATTAATATTATAGTATTTTTTTTGCCAATTTTGGAAAATTTGAAAAAGTGACTATAAAAATGTTAGAAAAATTTAAATTGAAAGGAGAATATATATATATATATATATATATATATATATATATAAACAAATAATATATGTAAAAAAGTTATTATGTCTTCGTATACAACTGTTAAAAGACACTAGTTTTAGCCCCCATTGACATAAAATAAACGGCAGGGTAGTTAAAGGGAGGACGTACCAACAAGAAAAAGGTTGCGTTTTGAAGAGAAATTAGTAATAAATAAATAAATGGGAAATCTGTTGGCAACGAATCCGTGTGTGGCCATGTCAGCAGGGCATCTTCAGGCATGCCATAGAAGAAACCAAACCAACTCAAAATCAACGACGGTCTAACCAATATTCAATTAACGCTCCATTCAATTCCATCCGATTCACCTAACTAATCCCTAACGCATTTCCATTTTTAAGCGGACAATCTTAGCCCCCAAAAGAACCATAAAGAAGCTGAATCATTCATTTCCGGCTAAATCGAAAGCCTCGGAATGGGTTTGTTAGATCTGGAGAAACAGTTCTCGTTCTACGGTGCCTACCACAGCAACCCGGTGAACGTGGCCATCCACATCCTCTTCGTCTGGCCCATCGTCTTCACGGCCCTTATCATCCTCCACTTCACCCCTCCCCTCCTCTCGATTGGGCCGGCCCACCCCGTTCTCCTCCTCAACTTGGGCTTCTTCTCCACCCTCTTCTACGCCCTCTTCTACATCGCTTTGGATAAGAAAGCCGGTTCACTCGCTGCGTTCCTCACTTTCTTCTGCTGGGTCGCCGCTAGTTTCGTCGCCAATAGCCTCGGCTTCTCGCTTGCGTGGAAGGTACGTGCGTGCTAACTGATTTCACCAGAGCTTGTGATTTGTGTACTTGATTCGCTTTTGTACTCATTTTACTTGTGAAAGGTGGTACTGGATTAAATGCCCTTTGGTCCGGTGCCTCTGTTGTGCGGGTATAAATGTGGTTTCGTGATTGTGTATGGTGGAACTGTTTATGTTCTCTTTTGTGTGAGACAATTTCTTATTTGTGGGCCTCTGCCTAATAATTTTCACGCTTTTATGCTGTGTTTCAAGTCCTTTGTGCTTGACTTCTTTGCTCCTTTGTTAAATGCTAACCCTGGCCCCCTCGTGTTTTCCCAGAAATTAAGTCATGTGTTCAGTGATCCATATGTCTCTTTAAGCAATTTTTGTCGCTTCTCCATTTCTCATCCTAATTTTGAGAAGTGCTGAAAAATGTTTCTGTCTTTTAATAGTGGAATTGATGGAGTATGATTTGGATTCCTAGTTTGCTACCAGTGGTAATTGGGATTTGCAACTTCTGAATTTGATTGGATGGCCCTTAGGACTGTTATCCGTATCTTGTCATAATTAACCATTAATCTCTTTTACCTTAATTTTTATGTTATCTTTGTTTTTTTTGAGAGAGAGAGAGAGAGAGACCAAAACGCGGTGTGATAAAGCCAAGAGCATAGAGAAAAAACTGTTTTATTATATGTTGAACAAAATGGTAACTCTGCTTATGACGGCAACCTTCAGGTTGTGTTGGCTGCTCAATTGTTTTGTTGGACTGGACAGTTTATTGGTCATGGCGTGTTTGAGGTAAATGATTTATTCCACTGCTGATAGGTATGATGCATAGGTTGTGTATTTCGATTATGTTTTGACCCTGTTTCCCCCTCTGTTAGAAACGTGCACCAGCTCTCTTGGACAACCTTGTTCAAGCTTTTCTGATGGCTCCATTCTTCGTGTTGCTTGAGGTAATTGTTTGTCATAATCATTTGAGCTGGGTCTATTTTACGATTGAAACGAGTTGGATTTGACATTTTTGCCTTTTCCAGGTCCTCCAATCATGTGTTGGATATGAACCCTATCCGGGATTCAAGGAAAAGGTGCAGGCAATGATAAATAATAATATCAAAGAATGGAAGGAAAAGAAACGTTCTTAGCTTAAACAAGTTACAAATGTGCTGTGTTGAAGATCACTCCCCTGAAAGCAAAGCAAAAGGATTTGTATTATATAGAAACTATAAAACTATTGGTTACCGCCAGACGTTTGATATCAATCTCATTCAAGTGTTAAAGGAAATATTGCTTTAAGTTCATGAACCCTTTTTAACTCCGTACGCCCTCTTGGTGATTTGGGACAATCTGTGATATGTTTTCTTTTCAAAAATTACTCCCTCCGTTTATAAGATGAGACTTGATCTTCAAGTTTATGCACAAATTACGGAATGTTCAACCAATTGAGAAGTTAACACCTTCAAACCACGTTACGAATAAGCATAAAAGGATTATTGTATTACGACAATCTTTCCACAGGCTTGTTGAAATTATGATCTAACTTCAGGATAAAACTGCATATTAGATCGTAAAGAAGATAATCGTTATCAATTTAGTATTTCATTAGTTGTAGATTGTCCGCTTAAAAATGGAAATGCGTTGGGGATTAGTTAGGTGAATCGGATGGAATTGAATGGAGCGTTAATTGAATATTTTGTTCCACGTCGTTGAATATGAGTTGGTTTGGTTTCTTCTATGGCTTGCCTGAAGATGCCCTGCTGACGTGGCCACACATGGATTCGTTGCCAACAGATTTCCCATTTATTTATTTATTACTAATTTCTCTTCAAAACGCAACCTTTTTCTTGTTGACACGTATTCCCTTTTTATTTTATGTCAATGGTGGCTAAACCTAGTGTCTTTTAACAGTTGTATATGAATACATAATAACTTTTTTACATATCACAAATTTTTATTAAACTTTATTATTTGTTAATATATATATATATATATATATATATATATATATGTTTGTATTCTCCTTTTAATTTAAATTTTTCTAATATTTTTAGTCACTTTTTCAAATTTTCCAAAATTGGCCAAAAAAATACTATAATATTAATAAATAAAAATATATTATTTTACTTTTGTATATATTTTCAATAGAAAAAATAAAAATAAAAATTAATATATCCATTTTAGTAATCTTTTTAATATAAAATTATTACAAGTCCTGATAAAACTAACAATAATATAATGAATTCATTTTCACATTCATTAATAATGCTTAAACTTTGTTTTTATGAATGATATTAGCAATAATAAGTCCAAGCTCTTAAAACATTTAATATTATATATATATATATATATATATATATATATCATTAATAATACATTTACTATGTATATATAACTTTTTATATTAATATCTCGTTTAATGTATTCTCAGATGAATTTTTTTAAATGTATCAATAAAGAATGAATTTCTCTATTAAATAGAATAATAAATATAGTCTTTTGTAAGTACCAAAAAATAAATTTTTTCTTGTTAAATAAGTAATAATGAATTTTTTATTAAATAAATAATTAACATGGATAAAAAATTTCATTTAATAATAATATTATTATAAATGTTTAATTATATAAAAAATAAATATTACATTTTATAAAAGCAGAATCTAAATTTACACAATATAGTTAGAAAAATTAATAATAATAATTTAGATATAAAAAATTGATATTAATGATTAATTTGATTTATAAGATTATAAAAAGTAAATTTAAGTTTTGTACTTTTATAATTATAAGTACTAGGAAAGTGACCTGTGCAATGCACGGATAAATTATTATGTTATAGTATAATATTATAATTAATATTTATAAAATAAAAAATAATTATATAAAATATTTATGATAATATTTAAATTATTTTAAATTTTAAAATTAATTAGTATATATTAATATTATTACCAATAAAATGATTGTGTTAGAGTCCTTGTAGTTTAAGCCTAATAATTGTGTTAGTTGAATTGTCACTTAATACCGTTAAAACTGTTAATTACAATAGCACAAGACTTAGTTAAGTAGGTTAATGCGCTTGATAAACTAGTTTTATATAGCATACAATATATATTTTATAAACGTTTATAACACGATGAGTGACACTTCAATTTTTTTCTTTACTCTAAAAGCCTTATAACCACCTTCTACCTCCTTTACCCCGAGATTCCTGTCTATTGTTTGTTATGGCGACAATGGATGATATTTTCAACTCTATTCCTTTTTTTTGGGGTCTTCGTTTTCAATACACACATGCCCAGGAATTAAACCTTTATCAATATGTTTGAATGGTCCAACTCTATTCTTTCTGCACCACAATAATAGTCTTAGCTTGGTTCTTTCGTATGCTTTTGTAGCAGAGAATTACAAGTCAAGAAGTCGAGCAACAAAGCTGGTACTCACTTTGAAGAAACAAGTTAACTTTGTTCATGGATAAATTCCGATCTTTAGTGACCATCCTTGTCTCCAGGCTTAAATTTGTAACAATAATATATGGTGATATCCTTATTATTGAATTCAGCCTCAAAATACATCATTTCTAAGGAAATATGATACGATCTCCAATATCAATATCACCAACAAAATGGTCCAAAAGTTTTTAACTAAAGAAAATAACGGAGTCTAAATCAAATCTTATTTTCATTCAACTAATATTTCCGCTGTGATGAGGTCAATTTTTGAAGGAGTATGATTACGAACCTCTGACTATTTGTATATGTGATGGAAACTTTTTGTTATTTTTTATCTGAATGAATAGATTGGGCATTTATTCATGAGACTTAATGAATAATTTGCACGAGTCGTTGTCAAATACTATTACTGCATCTTTCTTCCTATGATTAGTCATATTTTTCCATTAATCATTGAAGAGGATAAACAAAGAAAAATTATTTCCCACCGTTTTCCTTGGTCTTCTTCTTGGAGTTCCATGCTTCTCAGAATTTAAAGGAGGGAGATGCTCACAAAATTACAGGAATTTTGGCTAGAAGGGTACTTTAATGAACTAAAAATTTAAAAGACGACTTCTTCACCCTTTAGCCTCAAAGTGAACTTTCCTTCTTGGACATCTTTAAGGGCTCTTGCAATGACGAAGAAGGATTTGCCTAGGATGATAGGCATGGGCGGACCTTCTTGGGAGCGGGAGGGGGCCACGACTCCCATAAAGCTTGTAACGGAAATCATATTAGAATGTGTGTGTGAGAGAGCATTGATTGCTTAATTTGGAACAGAAATCATATTAGAATGTGCATGAGAGTGAATTGGGATTTCTGTTTGAGATTGCGGGGAAGTGGGGAAGTGAATATGATGTGTCACTCTGTCATATGTCAATATTGAATTTAATTTTCTAGTAGTGCAAATTGTTGTTTCATTTTTCTTGCAATATGGTAAACCTTTTTTTTCCTCCATCGTGATTTCATTCAATACTCTTAGTGAATACGTGATTTTCGTGCCCCTCATTTCTGGATATAGTTTTGGGTCCTACACTCTATAAAATGCTTTCGATTGCTTTTAAAAATTGTGTGTTAAATGTTTTTTCTATTTTTTGATACAAGAAGTACTATGGACTTCTTTTTCCTTTTTCCAATAAATCCCTATAATTTTCAAGAGAAGGGGGGTAAAATTGCCAGAAAAGGAAAGTTAGAGATCCTAGTTTCCATATCTGGAATTTCTTTTCATGAACTTCCAAAAAAAAAAAAAATCATTCACTTCTCATTGAAAAATGACTTGAAATTTGTTTCTTTATTTGGAGCTTGTTAATACTGGTGGAATTTTGGCTACAAAGAAAATATTGATTGTTGTATCTCATTGTCTTCAACTTTTATCTATAAACTTGTTTAATTAGCAATAATCTTTCGTATATTTATTTCTACTTTGCATTAATATATTATTTTGAGACTTTGCTTGAGAAATATAAATTTTAGTTAAATCACTTATCAATATTCCCCTTTAAATTTTTAGTCAAGATCTGCCACTGATGATGGGGACGTCACTATCCTCATGTTAAGTACCACAAAATCTGCAGGAAATAGAAACTCTCCAACCTTCACAAGCACATTTTTAAATATTCCTTCAGGATAAGTAATCGGCCTATCTGCTAGCTGAAGTGATACAGAGGTCGATTTTGGTTTATGCATCACAAGCTTCCTGAAAATAAATAAGACATAAGGTTAATACTTGCTTTTAAATTACATAAGGTCTTATCAATATGAGTTTTTCCCAAACTTAAGTGGAACCTTATCAATATGAGTTTAAATACTTGTTCTTTATGTGCTCTCTATAACATTCTTGAATTTCAGCTAATTCCTGAAAGCTAATCAACTATTGATTGGTGTACTTTTTTTGGGATTTTTTTTTATAATACTATCATTATGTTTTATTTTTATTTTTCTCATAATCATTTCTTGACCCTTGTTTCTACCCTTTTATGTGCAAATTGGAACCAAATCTCCCCACTCTTATTTACTTCAGGTTTTTACATGTTACTGTGAATATATTTTAGAGTGGATTATAAACGTCCTATTTACACTTTAAGTATAGGAATTGAACCCTATTTTTACGCTCTTTTTCTAGTAAACTTCCTATAATTACAACATTTAGGCATGGCATGAATAATCTTAGTGGATTGCAATGGATTTAATGACTTACTGGAGAGAATAAAGTGTTACGCTACCATGTGGAGCGGAGAGAAAAGAGAAGTATAGCTTAGTAGGAAATTAGGTAGCCTCTCCCTTGATGATCTGTAAGAAGGAGAATTGATGTATGTTAAAGAAGACTTGAACTGATAACCTTGTCCTTCCTCCTTGCCTTGTTTTTTGGGACCCATATAAAAGGAGTCTAAATTTCCCTTGCATTAGATTCATTTTTTCCAAGCACTGCATGAGAATAATATTGAGAGAATTGAGATACTAAATAACACCCCCTAAAACATGCAATTACTCCATTATTCTACTCATCTTAGTATCCTATTCTCTGATTGCTTGCACCCTTAGACCTTGAACTACTTGCTAGGGACTTCACTCCAAAAGGAAGGAACTTCTGCGCACCTCTCCCCAGTTCTTGTAGTTACGCCAAGGTGAAGGGGAGTCCAAGTATTGTTGGCTATGAGTAAACATTGTTTATTGCATGTGTGTTGTCCTTTAATTCCTCTTTTCTATAGACCCGATTGTTGATAAATCCACATTTTACTAGTATTTTAGCTTAGTTTTTAGTGGTATATAAGTAGTTAAATAATAAATAAATATGAAAATATCATAAAAATTGCATTTATTTTCATAATTGTGTAAATAGTTTAGAGTTTTAGATTTTATCTCAATTCTGGAAACATTCTGCTAGAAAGGTCAATTTTGTGCAGAAACTTGAGCTGGAGATTTTGAAGTTGAGATCCTGATAACATACACCCAGTCCACCGATTAGCATGATATT